GGCCCAACGAGGGCCCTTAATTGGTCAATAAACGAAATAAGTGCAGATGGGTGTGTAATATTTTGATTAATAAAATTTAACTGTACAATCATGATAATGAGGGACCTATATTGATATACTGCGTATTTTTACATTTAGGTCCCTGGTTCCTGGTAAACTGGTATTATTCAATCTATTTTATTAATGCTGTCGATTTTTTTAATAAAATGTTTATAATACATTTTTATAGTGTATTTTTACTAAAGAATTTAATGCATGTTTTAATGAAATTCATACAAACAGAATATACGGAAAAGAGGGGGGTGTCTTTTTCCTAAATATGCAAAAGCCTTATGTTTAAAAAATTAAATTCAATCTGTTCATCAAATTTCAATTTAAATTAGGCCCCTACTCCCTCCCCTAAAAAAGAGAAATATTTGACAAGTGTAGCTGGCTGGAATAAACATGATTATTTAAATGGATGCATAATCTGGGTTCTAAATGTAATGTTTTTCCCCGCTGGCGCCCCTTTAAAAACTCTTCTGTGATTGGAGATTAGAAATTAAAATGGCGTTTTTAGATATTGAGGAAGATTGTTGGATGTTTTCTATCACGTAATATTACATCAAATGACTCAAGATTTAATCCAAGGTATGTGCATTTTCAAACTGAGATGAACTTGCACAATATTTCTATAGTTATTGTTTAAGTTATCGATTTAGAGAAGTGAAAAACGATTCAATCTCTGAGTAGGAACCGAGGAATCTCGGGCGGGATGTGAAATGGAATGCATCTAGTTAACCAAGATCCATTTTCTTTGAAAGTTCTAAATTGGCAACGAGGATGATTCCAAATGCGTTTTCAATGTGTAAATTTATATTTAGACTTAAAATTGACTTCAATGGCTCTATGGTCATTTAATATATGGCGCCAAATGTCATGGGTAATATGTTTTACGGTGTGACCGTTGGGGCGAGCGCAGTTGTACCATCGAGAAAACTTGAAAAATATTTATCAGCCACTTCAAACATCAAGCCGCACGAGACGTCTCGACTACCTGTGACGTCACACGACGTCACGGAGCTCGTCGGAGCTTACGGAGACAGCCGAGCGTCTGGTTGAAACTATAGACCTTGTGCAATTTTGGTCGAAAAACATTGCAGAGTTATTTTTTGTTTATTTAAAAAATATCTACACACTGACAGCCTTTCATGCTTTACGTTATTATTTATTTTATTTATTTATTTATTCGCGCAAAGGACATTGGGTAGTGCAGGAATTCTGGGAATGTTGCACAGAAAAATTTGCCTGACGTATGTACATATTTCAATCCGAATTTCCTCTGTTCTTACACGTTAGTCTATTGAGCTCGCTTTGCGAGCGTCGCTTCGCGACGCTCGCTGCGCTCGCTATTAATCACAGGGGCTTGTGTAGAAAATTAGTACTTGACTACTTCGGTGTTTTTTCTCCGAGGTACTAATTTTCTAACTGATTTAACTACTTTAACTATCTATTTTGCTGTAACAACATTGAAGAAGCATAAATGATGATTTTTGTGTGATTTATTGAAGTTTCTAAATTTTCAAGTATTGATCATTTTCACCAGTCTAGTTGAACCCTTAAACGGGGGTATACCCCCAAACGAGGGTTTTCAGTCCCGTGATGCAATGCGCAAGAACAGTACCTATTGCCGTATCCAATATAAACATCTATCTTAAGAAAAAAGACCGATAATATTATTTCTGCTATAAAATTGGTAAAATGTCAACAGAAAAAAATCAACAGGTTAAGTTTTCCATAATTTAAATTTATAATGAGGAATACAAAATATTTTCTATCATTTCAAGAAATAATTTATGAATTTTTGTGTGCCGTTTCATTTAAGATTTTATTAAACTATGGACTTTGAATCACAAGGAAAAGTATTCTCAGAATGAGGAAAATATGAATATTGAATCTAGATTAATATAAATATAAAATGTATTCATGTTTTCTCCAAAACGATCATTTTTTTTTTAGCTCACCTGAGCTGAAAGCTCAAGTGAGCTTTTCTGATCACCCGGTGTCCGTCGTCCGTCCGTCCGTCCGTCCGTCTGTCTGTCCGTCCGTCCGTCCGTCTGTAAACTTTTCACATTTTCAACTTCTTCTCAAGAACCACTGGTCCAATTTTAACCAAACTTGGTACAAAGCATCCTTGGGTGAAGGGGAATTTAAATTGTTAAAATCAAGGGCCAAGACCCCTTCCAAGGGGAGATAATCAAGAAAATACGAAAATAGGGTGGGGTCATTAAAAAATCTTCTTCTCAAGAACCACTGGGCCAGAAAAGCTGAAATTTATGTGGAAGCATCCTGGGGTAGTGTAGATTTTAAATTGTTAAAATCATGACCCCCGGGGGTAGGGCGGGGCCACAATAGTGAATCCAAGTTTTACCTAGAAATATATAGAATAAATCTTTAAAAATCTTCTTCTCAAGAACCACTAGGCCAGGAAAGCTGAAACTTATGTGGAAGCATCCTTGGGTAGTGTAGATATTAAATTGTAAAAATCATGACCCCCAGGGGTAGGGCGGGGCCACAATAGTGAATCCAAGTTTTACCTAGAAATATATAGAATAAATCTTTAAAAATCTTCTTCTCAAGAACCACTGGGCCAGGAAAGCTGAAACTTATGTGGGAGCATCCTTGGTAGTGTAGATATTAAATTGTTAAAATCATGACCCCCGGGGGTAGGGCGGGGCCACAATAGGGAATCCAAGTTTTACATAGAAATATATAGAACAAATCTTTAAAAATCTTCTTCTCAAGAACCACTGGGCCAGGAAAGCTGAAACTTATTTGGAAGCATCCTTGGGTAGTGTAGATATTAAATTGTTAAAATCATGACCCCCAAGGTTAGGGCGGGGCCACAATAGGGAATCCAAGTTTTACATAGAAATGCATAGAATAAATCTTTAAAAATCTTCTTCTCAAGAACCACTGGGCCAGGAAAGCTGAAACTTATGTGGAAGCATCCTTGGGTAGTGTAGATATTAAATTGTAAAAATCATGACCCCCGGGGGTAGGGCGGGGCCACAATAGGGAATCCAAGTTTTACCTAGAAATATATAGAATAAATCTTTAAAAATCTTCTTCTCAAGAACCACTGGGCCAGGAAAGCTGAAACTTATGTGGGAGCATCCTTGGGTAGTGTAGATATTAAATTGTTAAAATCATGACCCCCGGGGGTAGGGCGGGGCCACAATAGGGAATCCAAATTTTACATAGAAATATATAGAACAAATCTTTTAAAAAAATCTTCTTCTCAAGAACCACTGGGCCAGGAAAGCTGAAACTTAAGTGGAAGCATTCTTGGGTAGTGTAGATATTAAATTGTTAAAATCATGACCCCCGGGGTAGTGCGGGGCCACAATAGGGAATCCAAGTTTTACATAGAAATATATAGAACAACTCTTTAAAAATCTTCTTCTCAAGAACCACTGGGCCAGGAAAGCTGAAACTTATGTGGAAGCATCCTTGGGTAGTGTAGATATTAAATTGTTAAAATCATGACCCCCGAGGTTAGGGCGGGGCCACAATAGGGATTCCAAGTTTTACATGGAAATATATAGAACAAATCTTTGAAAATCTTCTTCTCAAGAACAACTTGGCCAGGAAAGCTGAAACTTATGTGGGAGCATCCTTGGGTAGTGTAGATATAAAATTGTTAAAATCATGACCCCCGGGGGTAGGGCGGGGCCACAATAGGGAATCCAAGTTTTACATAGAGATTTATTGAACAAATCTTTTAAAATCTTCTTTTCAAGAACCACTAGGCCAGGAAAGCTGAAACTTATGTGGAAGCATCCTTGAGTAGTGTAGATATTAAATTGTTAAAATCATGACCCTCGGGCATAGGGCGGGGCCACAATGGGGAATCCAAGTTTTACATAGAAATATATATAGAACAAATCTTTTAAAAAGATCTGCATCACCCAAGTTACTCAGGTGAGCGATGTGGCCCATGGGCCTCTTGTTACATAAAAAATTCAAAATATTTTATTTAATTCTTCTAAGGTATAAAAGACAATAAATTCAATGAACTGCATTATAATTTTTATTTTACACTGTATTTTTGAACACTTCCTGAGCATGATTACCGATAATAAAGACTTTCACCGAGAATGAAAGACAATGATAACAAAATTTTACAAATGGTCTTAAGGTATTTAGAAAAATCTGTGTTTCGGGACAAGCCACAGTTAGAATATGTCCTGTATGCTTGCAATGTAGCAAATCAAAGGGGATCCGCTCTGACATAGTTTTGAAGAATACAAATGTTGTGTAAAATTAACTACCAATTTATCAAAAACAAACCTTTTTGAGATTTTATATGCCTTTTATCCCAAAAGATAAATCCATTTATAGATGAAAATCAAACTTTTTTTCAATGTTTTTCTCGCTTTAAATTTACCAGCCATGTTTAAATCCGGAACTCTCTGGGTTATACGTAGTAAATGCATTAAGTTGGAACCAGTTATATAGCCTATGTATTTTGCTACATTACCAATACACGGAACTAATTCTATTTGTTATATCTGATCCATAGTACAATATCATTTTAACAATAAAACATGAACATTCTATGATATCTAGTAATGAAGATGACAGCTGACTGCATGATGCATTAGCTGAAATTATCATGATTAGGGGAAAGACTAATAGTTTTCAAGATTGGTGTGTTTTAGCAAGGGCAAGATTTGGAAAAAAGGAAACAACAGGGACTGCAAGATATTACGAGATTCCAAACAGTTGTGAATCTATGTGATTATTTCTCTGGTTTAATTTTAAACAACATATTATATATAAAGTGTGGTTAATCTTCATTTTATTTATTTTACTGCAGTAGGTAATGGCAGAAGAACCAGACAGTGGAAAAATTGATAGTCATGATGATGTGAAAACTGAAGGCAGTCAGAATGAAGACGACAGAGCATCTGAAGATGTCCCTCAAGAAAGTCAACAAAGTCGGGATACCCCTAGCCTCATTCTGGGATCAAGGCTTGAGGAGCCCAGCAGTGACAGTGCAATGGCTAGACTTCTTCTTGCCAGCTCCATGGCTCAGCGAGACATGGCAATAATTGACCGAGAGACACCCTCTAGTGCCCTAAACCTGTCTGTTCCAGATCACGGCGGTAAACACAGACACTCCCCACATCAAAACTCACTGGTGAGCAGAGATGTTAGAAGTTTTGGATCATCCAATCACAGTCAATCACCACCCGTGTCTGATGTGCAACAAAACTCTGATGGTCTTGGTGTTGGACCGGGGAATTCCCAGATCGACAGCATGCAGCCTGACATGATGGATTATGGGAAGGATGCGACGTACCTGTTACCTGATTCGTCACCGGAGTCTTCCCCTATGGACCCAGTGATGACCAATGTTTATAAATGTAGACTTTGTAGCTTTTGTACCTCAACCTACACACAGCTGCAGTTACATATGCCAAAGCATGGAGGTAAGAAGCTAATCCCTTTGGAGTAACATGGACACATGTATATACAGGGTTTACTTCATATATTTGATGTATTAGGTAATTTTTAATGTTTTGTTTTTTACATTAAGTTGAAATTGACTAACAGTGAAGTGAAAGATAATTAGTGAAGTGTGTCACATAATTTTGTGTTGATATTTATTTTAATTATAACATTTAAAAGCAAATAAAGACAATTAAGGTTCACTTTAATCACTCTTCAGGTGTAAAGGCACTGAAATGCCACCTCTGTGACTATACCACCAATGACAAGAGTAACTTCAGACGCCATCGTAGACTCCATGTTGGAAACAATCCCGTCAATGTTCTCAAGTGTGGGAAGTGCTCATTCTCAACCATACTGCCTCGAAAATTTCGAGAACACTTTGTGCAGGTGCACAATGAACACCTTGGTCCAAATCTTCCATACTCTCTACCCACACATAGCACCTACCCACCAGCCAATTACCCAGACACACAATACGGAATCAACCAACCCGACCTCGGAGGTCAGAACCTACGGCACACAACAGGAAGTGGGAACTTCTCGGCATCAAATGCCCTCCATTCTCTGCTTACAGGAATCCATCATCAGGTTCCCACAGTGAACTTTCAACACCAAACATATACTGCTCAAACACAGGGACTTCAGACACAGTTTGGAAGCTATGTGGCACCTATGAGGCAACAGGCCAATGAGGAGAATCACCTGGCCTCTAATTACCTACGCTCAATAGTTTCATCTATTATGAATACTCACCCAACTCAGAGAGTACCCCCCAGCAGCACTATTACATCCTCTGGGTACTATCTTAGCCCCTCAGGACGAGACCATCCTCATGTCAGTGTTGCCCAACCCACTTTAGTGTCGGATGGCAGGGGCCACCCAGTTAAAATTAAAGTGGAACCACCCGAGCGTGAAGACACCCCAGATGTTTCCAGTTCAGTGATACCAAATCGCCAGCAGGGTTTCCCCGACAGTCTAGGAAGTCTATCATCATATCATCTGCAGCATCAGAAGAACTTTATGGGATTAGATAGTAATGAGGCTTCTACTTCTATCAGGGCAAATTCAGCAGAATCAACAAGTTCATCTCAGGCTGAAGGGCGGTCTAACAGTGTCAACACCACGGTGAAAATTGAAATTCAAAACAGAGGAATTCAGTGCAATCTTCCACACATTAAGACAGAGGCTTGCTTTGACACTTTTGTTTCTGTAACAGACCAAGGTGTGCAGTGTGAACTAGGGCACCTGCCACAACATCAAAGGTCATCAACCAATGACACAGGGTCAAGTTTGCAGTCAGCCAATCGCTGTCACCATTGCGGCATATCATTTGAAGATGAAGTTCTGTATTACATTCATGTAGGCTGCCACAGCCACACTGACCCATTCGTGTGTAATGTCTGTGGCAAACAGTGTGGTAACAAATATGGTTTCTATTCTCATATTATGAGAGGACATCAGTGCTGAAAAAGTTTTTCACAAATGTTTAACTTTGAATTTTTCTAGGACACTAAGGACAAGAATTAGTAATTATTATCAAAACATATTGAACAACAAAGTAATTATATTGGAAGCATTTTGCACTTCAATTTGTTGTATTGTGAATGTACAAATGTTTTGTTCAGTTCATTATTTTTTTTACTCAAGTTTTTGATCTCAGTGCACAAATTTTCACAAGAGTAGCTTCCCTTTTGTTTCACTTTATGTAATAAAGATCTCTAGATTTATTTTATAACTTATCATTGCCATGTACTGATACTGAACAAAACTTTATTTACTAATTATGCAATATTTCTTAATTTTTTTTTTTTTTTTTTGTTGCATTTCTGGAAAATATCTTGCATGTTTATACAATGGTTATATATTAAGTACACTCTGGCAAAATAGCTTCATCACATGTTACAGGTACTTGTATGTGTTTTGATTTATTTTTGTATGTTATAGGAGTTCATAGAACTGAATTTAAACATTTTCATATCCATGCAATTTACCTATAATTTAAGCTAGCTTGATTAGCCATTACTTATTGAGCTTTATCATGTTATAGTTTTGTTTAAACAGCATGATAATGTGTACAAGATATTTATCGTGTGTTTATTCTGCAGATTTTTAGTAGAAAGAATATATATCATTAGGGTATAGGTTAGATTGAACATGCTTTATGTAGACTGACATTCTATGATAATTTATATCCATGTGACGAATAGTTTCAAAAACTAGGATAACTCGGAGAACATGCATCAGAATTCTACTAAAAAGCGAGAGTACACATTTTACCTTTACATATCATTGACCCTTTCTTTACTTACCAAACCATAATTAGACTACCAAAGCAAGCATTTTTATAAGAGTAACATGATATAAATTTACCAAACCCGGTTGAAGCAATATGCACGTATCATTTAAAAATCTAGATTTTTTTATTGAGAAAATATTGTGGCAGCTGAAAATTTTCATCACTTTAACTTTATTTCATTGACAAGATCTTAAATTCATTTTTTGCTCTGCATTTTTCTATCAGTAAAATGTACTTAATTGAAAATAGACTTACATAGTGGGTGTGTCTTGATAGAGTTTTAGTTAGTTGTCATTTAGAAGTCCCAATGTGTTCAAATGAAATAATAAAATTGCCTAAATAGTTATGGTTATTATTAAAGATACCATATACTAAGTGACACATTTTTGATTTGGAAAGCCAAGGGTAAACATGGTTAAAGTACAAAAAATAAGCAAAGATATCTTTTAAAAAGTCGAAGAACAGGGCTCTCTGGAAGACTTTTTTAAAAACAGTCCTTTGAACTTACTATTTCCTACCTATATGAACATGAACAAATTTCCTCTGAATTTGGGTAAAAATTTTGTGTTTACCAATTTTGCATGATGAAATTATTTTTTACCAATATAAAAACTCGTGAATATATGTTTTGGTATAATCTGTACATATGTATATCCATTAAAATATGCATGCATACATATTCATAGATTAGATGGTAATTGAAATGCAAATGCAAATGCAAATGCTTTGTTGAAAGGGTAACAACATTTCTCTATGCTTGATCAAATCATTTGAGATTGTTTCTGATTGAGTACGAGAGTTCTCAATTCATAATTATTACATTTATACTAGTGTGCATAAAGGTTTATTAAATCAAAATGTTATTAGGGGGGATAGGTTGTTTGTTTTCTTTTTCCATGTGTAATGAAAAAATTATTATATTATTGTTTTTTTTTTTTTTTAAATATTGTTATGCATTTAATGTACTATTAGTATATGTTCTTTGTCCAGTGTTTGTGCAATACCCAAACAAAAGCCATAGTTATGTTTACTTGTTATAGTTCTTGTGGCCAGTTAATATGATTTCTGCCCAATTTTTTTTTAAATAAGAAGGTTCTTAACACTGCACAATGAATTCTTTAATTTTTTTTATTCAACCAAGAGAATGTAATTGAATAGTGTACATGTATTTACATGGAGATTCCCAATATCTGTTAAACAGCATTCATTCCACAAGATCACTAATGCTTCATTCTCTTGGAACATTTTTCTTATTGAAATATGGATAAACCCCAGATGTTGAATATAAATAATATAACTCTAATTTGTACAACTTTTAAAAATTTTCAATGTCGAAAATATTCATTTATGTTTAGAGTCTCCTTAACTGAAACAATTTCTAAACCTTTTTTTTTTCTTGGAAGTGGGGTAGGAGGGAGGAAATATTGTGTTATTTTTTTATTAAAATTTCTGTAAACTTCATGAAATCAATACCACTGTATTAAATATGTTAAGGAATAAGAATTTTTTATATATACAAAAACTTACATGTACTTATACAATCCATCCCAAAAGCAAATGGTTTGTTAAGACAAATAATTTTTAAGGGTGTGTATACATGTGTATTTTGTATTTGATTAAAATCAATTTTAGCTTCATTTTCTGGTGCTTATAATCATGTATGATTTGTTTTTGTTTTTTTTCTTTGCATTTTATACAAGTTTTTAGTGGTTTTTAGTGTTATTGTAATGTTTGTATGTACCAGTATTTCTTCCTTTGAAAGCTTACCAACAATATTTTTCTTATCATATGTCTCTCTCAAAGATTGTGCCTACTTGTACTTCATGGAATCTTAAAGTTCTTAATTCTTCATTCATATGCATGTAATGCACAGAAATGTTCATGCTAGTAGAATTATTAGGGAAAAAATATAATTTTTTGCTTGTGGATACATTTATAATATTGTATGCATGTGCTTATTTCTGTAGAGTGATTCATTATGTCTTTTTTACAATTGATGCGCAGAAGCAAAAGCAAGAGAAGGGATGAATCAAATTCTGCTTAATTAATTTTTTTGAAGGATTTGTTTTTTCTATTGAATTTTGAACAAAATTTTTTTTTTTTTTCAAAATATCTGTATTTCACACTTTTATGATTCCATTACAGACACTATGAAATATCATTTAGTGGAAAATGTAAAGATTTATTGTTGCAATTTTGAATTTAGTATATTACATGCAACACAAATTTAATCACGCTCTCTCTTTTTTAAAAATCTTTTTTGTTAATTATTGGGGAAGGGGAAGCAAACATTTCAACTAAACATAAAATGTTATATGAACATTTCCACTTTCAGGACTTTAAAAATACATGTATTTTAAATAGAAGTGATTGATAGAAATCACTAGGTACAGCTCCTTTTCAATAAAGTGGACAGTTCCATGTATGTTTCAAAATCTTTTTCTGTTTTATCTATACTTTAAATATATAAGTTTTTGCCATGACATTTCATTTTTTACTGAAGCTTGGTTTTAGGGTATTTAAGAAGTTTTGTAAAAAAGGAACAAAACATTCAAATAAGTTTTTCCATTCTTTAAAACTGGGTATGAAATGGGGTATATAGAATGTTTTGCTTTAGAAGCACTTGTCTACCTCCATTCTGAAAAGAAAAGAAAAGAAATTTATAAATCAAGGAACATTCATCTGGTCCATAAACTGCAGCTTTGATATATTTTCCTAGAAAGAGTTTATGTTAAAACTGTGTGATTACGGAACATAATTCTTTGTTTCATTTGTTTGTTTTTGTTGGTTGACATTTTGTACTTTCATAATTTACCTTAAAGAGGAGCTTTATATATTGACATAATTTTCCCCCTGTGCGCCAGGGCTTAGCTTTATTCTTAAGCATATGTACTGTAATCAGTTTCAAAAGCTACTTTTATACTGTGTTTTTTCTACTATACAAGAAGTGTTATCAGTTTTTTTTGACAGCTAAAGGCAAGCTTTACCTTTACTTAAGGACCATGTCAAATGTGTTTCCTATAGTACTGAAAACTGCTCCATTGTTCAATTGTAAAATAACAAAGTAAAATGTTTAATTTCAGGATTTGCAGTTACAAAAACTGATTTAATCATACTTTTTTGTTTAAAAATTAAGTACACATTTCATAATGCTAAAATCTTATACAGTATTTTAAAAAGTTCATACAAAGATGCAGATTTCCCTCTGATAATTTCAGTAATGATGAATAGGAGACACATTTGACCTGGTATTTTTTGTACTTTGCTGTTGTATGTTAGTTATAGTCTTTTATTGCTATATTGGTTACTATGGCAGCATGTTGTAATCTGTTATATTACTGCTGGATAATAAAATTGAATTTACCAATGTCTTTTGCAATGGTTCATTAAAAGAAATTGATAAATGATAATGATATAAGACTTAGTTCAGGGTCTTATGGATGCAATGGTTTATGTCACCTTTAAATTGTGTAGTCTGTTCATTAATGACCATGATGTAAAATTTTTACATTTTGAAAGTCCCTTGTTCTGGTGCAGAAGTTTCTTGTATGGCCAAGATATAAACAGTTCTTGAAAGTTAAACTGAATTCGGTCCTAAGGTATAAAAAAAATCTTAGTACAGTGTATTACATATCTTCGCTAGCCAAAGATTTCTGATTTGCTACTTTCCTCTGAGACGTTATGGTCAAAGACTAATATATGAAACCATAACGATACAGTTCTGCGGCTAGCACTGGAAAAGGTCACATGTAAAATGCTGTTTTATATATATATATATATATATATACACACACACACACCCACACACACACCCACACACAAAAAGGCTGCAGCTTTAAATAAGTCCAAGTGATTGAAGAAGTACGTACTATAGTAGGTCAAACTGAGGCCTTGAGGTTGTGATAGTCGTGATGTCAATGATGATGTACATATGAACTGTGAAAGCCCATCCTTCTCTCGTGCAAAATTTTACCATATTAAATTTTATGAAAATTATGCCAAAACTTCCAAGGTCAGAGAGTAAAAAAAAAAAAAAGAATCGTAAAGGCCTTGACACAGGTAATAATAATTTATCATTATCAATCCCTTAAAAATTCAACGAAGGCTGGTTCCAAGTCGACTTCATATTTATAAAACATATCCACAAAAACTAAATATCCTTTACACCGCTTTATTAAGTAATAAATGAAACATTAATAACAAGCATCATAACAATATATCACAGCTTCTTAATCTTCGTCACGAAAAATGTCGAATTTTTATTTTCATTATGGAGCGAAATTCCTTCTGTGGTGTTCTTATGATAAATAAGACAATAGCGAAAATCCACAATGAAAATAAAATCTTTTCCAGAAGACTTCATTCATTTTTCCTTTCACTCGCAGAAGTAACGAACATAGTAGATTTTAAGATTGAAATCTTACTGAAAGGAGAAGCATTCACCAATAGCTTGGATGCCAAAGACAACTGCAAAAGATCTCCATCCTTGGACAGCCTTTGGTGGAACAT